TTTTTAGGTGTACAGTAGCATTGTTTCTTCATACTGATCTGCAACACATCCCAGAACTTTTTGTCTTGCAAAACTAAAACTCTGTGCCCATCAAACAACTTCCCCACCTCGTCCCCCAGCCCTGGTAACTACCATTCTGTTTTCTGTTTCTATAAATTTGACTTTAGGTAATCTTACAGAAGTGGAATAGGACAGGATTCGCCCTTTTGCAGCTGGCTTCTTTCACTTAGCATGGTATCTTCAAGGTTCACCCACGTGCAGCCTGGGTCAGAATCTCATTCCTAAGGCTCAGCAGTAACGCATCTCATGGGTACACCACCTTGCTTGTCCATTCGTCTGCTGATGGGACACTGTGTTGTTTCTGCCTCTCAGCTACTGTGAACAGCGCATCTGTGAATGTGGGTGTGCAAGTGGCTCTTTAGACCCTGCTTTCAATTCCTTTGGATAAACACCCACAAGTGGGATTGCTGAATCATACGTAACTCTGAGGAAAACCTCCACGGTTTTCATTACAGCCATGCTAATGACTATGGCGTGACTATCTCACTGTGACTTTCATTTGCTTTTCTCTAATGATCAGTGATTTTGAGCATCTTTTCACGTGTCTATTGGTCATTTGTAAGTACAACTGTCCCTTGGTATCTGTGGGGGACTTGTTCCAGAACTTTCCATGGACCAAAATCTGAGGACTCTGGGAGTGTTTGCATGTAACCTATGCACATCCTCCCTCATCCTTTAAATCCCCAATACGTTACTTATAATACCTAATGCAATGTAAATGCTATGTAAATCACTGTTAAACCGTATTGTTCAGCAGACAATGAGAAGGAAGTCTATACAAGTTCGGTATGGGTGCATTTTTTTAAATAAAAATATTTTCAATCCATGACTGGTTGAATCCAGGGATGCAAAACCCACGGCTAGAGAGTGCTGACTGTACATCCTCTTTAGAGAAATGTCTGCTGAAGTCCCTTGCCCTCGCTCACTTTTAAATGAGGTTGTTTCACTGATGTTGAGTGGTAGGAGTTGTCTAAATATTCCAGATATGAACCCTTGTCAGATACACAATTTGCAGGCATTTCCCTCGCCCCACACTCTGCACAGAAGACTGATGTCGCCTTAGTTTTACTTTTGTTGCCCATGTGTCGAGTGTCATATACCAGAAATCACTGCTAAATCCACTGTCATAACGCTTTCTCCCATTTTCTTCTAGAAACTGTATAGCTTTATTTCTTTAGTCTTTAATCCACTGAGTTAATTTTCACATAAGGTGACATATAAGCATCTTCACAGCTCTTCTTGGGGGTCTATGAAATAGTTAAAGGCCCCAAGCACAGTCATGTATGTGCAGAGCATGTTCACACAGACACTCAGGCCGGGAGATCTCAGACTCCCCAACGTCATATTTTGCTCCTATGACTACTGTCCTTCCCTTTAACCTCCTCTCTGTTCTGGCCTCACTAGCACCGACCTTTGTCTGCTCCTCGAATGACACAACTGAGTTTGGAGGAAACATACACCAGCAAGGAAAAGCGACAACAGAATCCTTCCGGGTTTTACCAAAACCACCTGAGACATGGATAAAACTAGAATTCCAGCCAGTGGGATTCCTCCTTTCCCCTGGGCCACTACATAAAGGCGACCACACTACAATCCCATATCTCTTACCTGTGGCCCCCATACCCAGTAGGGTCTCACTGTCTTTTAAAAGGACAGTGGCACAACAGCTCTCTGCAGGCTTGACCTCCTAGGCTCAATGGATCTTCCCACCTCAGCCTCCTGAGTAGCTGAGACTCCAGGCAGGTGTACAGCACCACACTCAGCTAATCTTTTTGTAGAGATGAGGTCTCACTATGTTGCCCAGGTTGGTCTTGAACTTCCGGGCTCAAGGGATCCACCTGCCTCAGCCTCTCAAAGTGCTTGGATTACAGGCATGAGCCACTGTGCCTGGCCCAAATCCGCAGTTCTAAACATGGAAAGTTTTGCATACTTCGCTTGGCAGGAAAGCCTGCCCTGAACTGGCATGAGACTCCTCGTGGTCTTTTTCATCCTGCTTATATTTTGCTGCAGAAATACCAGTTTGATGAGGTGTTGCCCCAGGCCCCAAGCAGAACATATACATACCACTTTACTAAATCAGAAAAATCCAGAATTCTAAGACGCATCTGTTTCTAAGATTTTTGAATAAGAGGTTGTGGCTTATGCTATTTTTCCTGACTGTGGTCTCACTTTCTGCAGAATAGTTATGTTTCTTCCCGATAAATTTGTTTCCACCTGTTGATGCTAATGTTTTCTCCCATGATACTTGTAAGTAGCTAAATTTCTTTTCTTTTTTTTCTGTTTTTTAAGATAGCTGATTGTAACAAATGGTGGTATACCAATTAAAGACGTGGTAAGTTTCACTTGCTGTACATCATCCCTAATTTGAAGCTCGCGCGGCATCTACCCAGGTTAAAGTTATCATCATCTAGGGATGTGTGCATCCATCTAGGTCAGCCTGCCAGTTCCACCAAGGGCTGTACTTCAAAATCGCTAAGTAACACATGGTTCTTCCATTTTGCGGAATTATTTTCCCAAAGCAAAGTTCACATACTGCTGGTAGGAACAGGTTCAGATAAGGAATGCTGATACATGTCAACATCCTTTGAGACAAACCTGTTCACACAATGAATGTGGAGCCCAGGGCCCCCCTACTTTCTCTCACAGACCCTGACATCACCCAGGGCTTGCGCTGTTGGTAGTGTTAAAACTTTAGGAAAATTAAATTTAACAGAGTTTAATTGAGCAAACAATGATTTGGGAATCCAGGAGCCCCTCACACCAGAACAGGCTGAGCGACTCCAGTGCCACTGCCTGGGCGAAGACTTACGGACAGGAGGGGAGACACGCAGGAAGCAGAAGGGAGGCCTGGAAACAGCAGGGTGGCTACAGCTCGCATCTGGCTTATTTCAGAGTTGAACGGCTGACTGGTACAAGACTAGGTTACAGTCCATTCACACATGCAGTTAGATTACGGTTCACTACGTATGGGGAAACCTCTAGGCTAAACTAAAAGTGTGCAAGGAGGTGGCTTCAGGCCACATGAGAGCAGTGTGTCCTTACAGTGTGAATTACGGCTTCTTGGAAATTCTTCACCACCCTCTGGCCTTCTAAATATTGCCCACACCTTTACTTTTGTTACCTGGCTGCTCTGTTTTTATCGAATTATGAGAAACTGAAAAACTGTCACTGCTGGTGACATTTTCCCACAATCTCCACTTTAAAAAAATTCCCATAAATGCTCGCTCCTGAGCGCGTTTTCCCTTGTAGTCACGGGGGCAGGGGCTGCAGAAAGCAGCAGAGACAGGCAAAAACCCGCAGCTGCAAAAAACGCACTCCTAACAGCAAGTAATGGCCGGAGCTAAAAGACACCGTGCCCATTCTGTGTCACTGCGATTACCTGACTTAAATGGCTCTGAGCAGAGAGAATTTTTATCTGAGAAACGCGAGTCCTTTTAATCATGCGGCCGAGACAGACATTCAAATGAGGCGACGATCACGCCCGACTCCGCCTTGACCTACATGTTCCTCTCCTGCTACTGGCGGCAACATCGCCACGAGCAGCCACAGATCAACCTAATAACGCCACACTGGACACTGCACCCACGCGCTACAGCTGAGCAACGTAGAGTCAGTCACTAATCAACGTTATTTCTGTAAGCCAGAGATAAGTCCTCACAAACAAGTTCCCATTAGTGCACTCCCCGGCCCCCTTTTTTGCCTTTAAAATCCACTCCGAACTGCTAATCGGAGGATACATTCAGGGCGCCTTGAATCTGTGCTCCCAGGCTGCAGTCCTCGAGCGTGGCCCAAAAAAGTCCGACAGTTTCCAAAATGTTTACTAACATGAGAAAAGCCACCTTATAAAAGTGGGAGGAAAAGGCAAACACAGGGTACCTCAATTGCACATTAACATTTATAAACGTCAAGACAAAGATTCCCGGTAAAAAAAAAAAGGAGCACTGGCACGCATTAGGCCCGAAAAACCACAGCCCAGAGCGGCCTGGCGCGGCCCCCAGGACCCGGGACCTCAGCCGCCGCTCCCGGCCACGTGTTCAAGAATCTGTTTCAGGGACGGGTCTCGCTCTGTCGCACAGGCTGGTCTCCAGCCACGGGCTAGGGTGATCCGCCGGCCTCAGCCTCCCACAGCCTGGGACTCCAGGCCAGGCCGCCCGCCGGCTCGTTATTTCACGGAAGTTCCCGACAAACGTGGAAAGTGCCTTTTCTTGCCGCTGATTCTCATCAGGGTTCGCCAGGGGCCGCTGCGACCACCCGCCGGTGCCCGCTCTCCCGCTACGGTCGCTCGGATTTTCCGAACCCACCAGACGCTTCCGGGCGCCTTGTCCCACGCGAGTCCACCGCCTGCGCGGGCCGAAAGCGGCGCCCCTGCCCCTGCGCTTCCGCGTCGAAGGGGAGGTAGGAGGAAGAGAAGACCGCAGCGCATTAGCTTCCGCGGCGTTGGGTACTGGCGGGACACGCGGCAGGGACACCCAGACACCGACCGCCTCAGGTCTCTGGGACCGTGGCGCGCACGACATGCTGGGACCCGTAGTCTCGCGACGTTGGGACTCGCAGTGCGCGACGGGAGTAGAGGAGAGCGGCTCGCGGTGCATGCCGGAACTCGTAGTCTCAGGAGGCCGGGTCTCGACGCGAGACGGGGTAGTGGACCGCACGCCCGCGTTGAACGCTGGGACTCGTAGTCCCGCCATGCCCTACCCGCGGTGCACGCCGGGATACGTAGTTCCGAGCTCGGCGGGATCCTCACTGGAACTGGGACAGTGGTCTGCGTTGCATGTCGCTGCTCCACCGTTCTGGCGCTCCGAGGATGGGTAGGGCGCAGGAAAGCAGTTAACCGCAGCCCGCGCGCAGGCTTAGTCCCAGGACAGAGCCGTCTCCGACCCCGCGCGGCGCCAGTGTTTACACGCGCACGTACGCCCGCACGCACGCGGCGCCCTCGCCGTGACGTCACGCGCTCTCCAGGAAGTCGGCGCGGGCCGAGCGGCGGGTGGAAGCCGGTGCCGAGAGGAACTGCTGTGTTGCCGCCTGGGTCGGGCCGCCGCGGTGGGCGCCGCGGTCTGAGCGCCGCGCAGGCCCCGTAGCGACCGCCCGTCCGCCCTCTGTTCACGATGGAGGCGCCGTCCGCGGGCCGTGTTCCCGCCGAGGGTGCCCCGACGGCGGCTGTGGCCGAGGTGCGCTGTCCGGGGCCCGCGCCGCTGCGCCTGCTGGAGTGGAGGGTGGCGGCGGGCGCGGCCGTGCGCATCGGCTCGGTGCTGGCCGTGTTCGAGGCCGCCGCCTCCGCGCAGCCCGCCGGCTCCCCCCAGTCCCGTGCGGTCTCCGGGGGCTGCGTGCGCCCGGCGCGGGCGGAGCGCAGGCTGAGGTCGGAGCGCGCGGGCGTGGTGCGGGAGCTGTGCGCGCAGCCCGGCCAGATGGTCGCCCCAGGGTAAGTGCGCCGGGCCGAGCGGGGCCGAGGGCGGGCGGGCCGTGGTTCGTTACCCGGCTCTTTGGTGGGCAGGGGCGCCCCAGGGGAAGGGGCGATAAAGCGGGACGCAGGCACTACGCCTCTCCCCTAAACCGGGTAGTGACCACCTGTGGTTTTACCAATGGGGAGCATTTTGAGATAAAAGGGGAGGGTCCCGCATAGCAACCCGAAGTTGCTGTTTGGAAAAGCGCTGGTGTTTGTTTCTTTCCTTCTGCGGCGATCGTCCCCGCCCCCTCCTGTAGCTCCACCTTTGTGAGTTAGGTAAACTCCTGGGTGGCTGTGAGCACAGTCATCGGGCAGGCTCCAGACCTGTTATTGAAATATAAACTGTTGGGTGTGTGCACATCTTTAAGTTTTTGTAAACTTTGTGAAACGCAGTTGTAAAACCTGGTGCAGTTGTGCTTCGTGGCTGAGGGACGGGAGGAAACCAGGCCTTGCAGCAAAGGCAGTGGCCCGTAGTTGACCACTGTGGGCACTGTCGCTGCTTCAAGGTGACAGGGTAGTACGTGGTCGTGTGGCAGACTCCACAGCTGTGGGTACCTGTGCTCTGACCCCATACGGGGGTGTGCTTCTGTAACATGGAAGTGTCCAGCCCTGTTTGAGTCTACCTTTGTATTCTGGGAGAGGCGGCACATGGGCACATGTGTACGCCTGGTTGCGGTGATTTTGACTGTGAGAACAGAAACTCCAGGAAGAGGTGGGCACTCCAGCCTGCAGTGGGCCAGGCGTGAGCTCCCTCTGGGAATGGTGCCACTCCTGGGGATGCCATCTCACCTTCATCCACAGTCCCTGGCCCTCCTTCCTGTGGCTAGCACTGACGCTGTTTTTGTTGAGGATCTGCTACGCGCCTGCTTCTGCAGGAGTGAGTACGGGCACAGGACATCTGCCATCACAGCCCCAGAACGTCCTGGCTCCGCTTCTTTTGGAGACACAGCCTGGGACCTTGACGCTCAGCACAGGCTCCCACTTCTGTCCCCTCCATGCTGGTGGGTGGGGCTGGGCGGTTCAGGGCCGTGCTTCCCAGGGAATGCCCGCACAGCTTCCTCTCTAAGCTCTGGTCATACCTCCGAGGACAGTGGAGGCCGACCTCAATGCGGGTGTATTCCCTGCACAGAAAACCCCAGGATGGAAGAGCCTTCTGATGTTACATGTGTTCTCTGATTGTACGGAAGGGCCACTTTGACCTAGACAGCTGGGTACACTGGTTATGTGACCAGTTAGTACTGACAGTCCGTGTTCAGTCAGCCTGGTGAATAATCAGCCAGCCAAGTAATTAGTTAATGACAGGTTCCCAGCAGTCAGTAGTGTTTATGGGGAGGTGCTGTTTGAGATCTTGGGGCACCTCACAGCACTGATTCGTCACAAGGCCCTTTGAGAAACTGATGTGATATCATTTCTCCTCAGATGGAGCATCTTTGTGGCACCAGGTGTTCCTCTAATTCCAGGAGGCTCATCTCTGCCACCGGTCCATGGATGGCAGGTGTATCCCTGCCTTAGAGAAAGCTACAGACGGTGTTACCTGGAATTCAAGGTGCCTCCTTCCCCATTTCTGTGTACTCCTATGAGTTTGTGTACAGGGCTTTTGTGAGCATTCTGGGGAGTGTGGTAGTGTGATGTCAGCATTTCTGGAGGTGTTCCTGCCCTTGCAGTGGGCATGGCTGCCACAGATCCAGGAAGGAGCAGCTGGCAAAGGCATTAGTCTAAAGCTCTGTGTGTGTGTGCCCTGGTTTGGAATCAGGTTCCTGCCTCGAGGTTGCGATAGGTAGCGGAATTCGGGAGCATTTGCAGCAGGAGTCCGTGCTGCTGACGGCTCCGTGCGGTTGTGTGCAGTCCAGATGAAGCTGCCCTGGCTCTGGGGCTGCTGTCTGGAGATGTGTTGGCCTCTCCAAAATGCCTGCTGCACCTTTGTGTAACACAGTTGAAAATTACTAGATTAAGTCACTTGCTGACAGAGTTTGTGGAAAGGGTGGGTTACAAGTGCGTTTCTCTGGCAGCCCCCTGTGATGGGAGTAGCGCCCTGCAGTGTAGACTCGTGGTGGCATCTCTCCATGGTGAGCTGCAGGTGGAAATCTCCGCAGCTTTTGCTTAAAGCCCAACAGTGATGGATTTCTCCAGTGTGTGAGTTCCAGCTCAGTAGCTCTTTATACACAGTTTACAGCGGACCTTCAAGCAACATGGTTTGTGGTTTGAGGGTCACCTTTATGTAGACGTTTTTCAGCAAATCGTCTGCTCTCTGCATCCGTGGGTTCTACGTCCGACACTCTTTGCTGGGTGTGGAGCGCAGGCTGTTTATACAGACGGCTGACTTTCTGGATTCGTGGGTTCTCAGGGCTGATGCAGGACCTGAGTATCTCAGGAGTTTGGTATCGGAAGGAGTCCTGGAGCCAATCCGCACGGATACTGAGGGGTGACTGATGATATGTGGAAGTCTCCGAAACAGATTGTGCGGCTTCGTGATGAAGTGGAGAATATTGGGTGTGATTTCGTCCTAATGTGGGAAGGTGCTGCCCGTGAGTTTAGTCCTTGTTTCTGTGACCCTTCTGGGACATTGGTTGGTGAAGAGCCATGTCCCTTCCTCCAGCGAGCCTGAGTCACATTGCTTTCACCTAAAAGGTTTTTCCTGTGTTTTTCTTTTTTTCTCTGCTTGCTGGTGTGGCCATATCCGGCAACAGCTTCACAGTTCTTGGAGGCTGGAAGGTGAGGACGTCAGGGAAGAGGAACTGTCCAGAAACCCATGCTCTGCTCACCAGCCCGGGCGTTTGACTTTAACTAAGCAAGTTCCCAGGATTGCACATGGGCTGCTTTAGAATGGACTTACCTTGACCTGTTCCAAAAGTTTTCTTGAAGTTACAGGTTCCTGAGATACTTATGTGGGAGAGCAAGCATTTGATTGGAGTTTGCTTTCAGTTAAGTTTGGAGACTGATTATTTTGAGTTGATCCTTAGAGCACCCCTTTCAGATGATGTAATGACACACCCTTGTACCGACAAGCACGGGCAGAATCCACAACTGCTTTTGAGGAAGCTCCAACCCTGGCTTCAGCTCATCCACGTGCGAGGGCAGGGGAGGTGCAGAATCTGCTCCTGGGCCTATCCCAAAGAAAAGAGTCTCCCTCCTTTTTAAAAAAGTCTCCGAGGGCCCACGGAACCCCGTGCCTCTTGGTTAGAGAGAGCAGGTCCTGCCCAGCTGATGGATCAGAAACTCAGGTGTCAGAAACAGGGTTTCAGGGTGGCTGCCTGAGGAATACGTGGGCAACCTTACCAGCCAAGAGCAGACATAGGAATTCTGGCTTGATGTGGCGCCTATGGGGAGGCCACACAGTTTTGGTCCCTCTAGGGATCACTGGGCCTTAGCGTGCCCTGCTGGCTGCGTGGTGAGGCCTTTGGAGAACGTCTTGGGACAGGCAGCCGCAGATTTCCCAGGGGTGGTGTTGAAGACATCGCTGACAGGTGTGGAATTCGCAGTGCGGACGGTGGTGTCTCTCTTAAGGCTTGGCTGTTGTGTTTGCCCTGTGGGCGTTGCGGGTTGGCTTCTGGTCCACACGGCTTTGGGACTGGGGGTGCTTACCCATTATTATTCCTTCATCTTGATCTTTTCGCAGGGCTCATAAAAATACTTATTTTTCAAGAACAATGGGAAGTATCTTTGAAAAAATATCGTTAAATGTGTTAAACTGGCACTTTCCGAGAGCAGACAGTGGCAGCAGCCTGAGTCTGCACGTGGGGCTGAGCTTGGGCATCTGCACGGGCGCTGTTGACCCCACTGGCCACTGGCTCTTAGTGGTAACTGTTTAGCTGAGACTTTCAGAAACTGAGAGGTGTGGGCGTGGCTTATGTACACGCAGCCAGTGTGTTCGCAGTGCTGAGGAGCACAGTACGTGCTGAACCTGAGTGTGCATTAGAACGTCAGTGTAAGCAATTCTTCGTAGCACGGAATCGTAACAAAGGAATCCAGCGTGCGTATGTGTGTGAGCCTTGTGTAGTTTGGTGTTGATTATTGAGGCAGAGCGCTGCGGAGAGAGGTAATGGAGCCTGTGGCTCCATAAAACCTCCCTGGAGAGATCGCAGGTGTGAGTGAATCTTAAAAGCACCAGCACTGTCCACGCAAGGTATGGCTGTGTCCTTGTCACCTGCATTGTCGTGATCAGCAGCGTTCGTCCTCACCACATCAGTGGTTATTTTTAGATGAGGAACCATTCTGGGAGCGGGAGCTTAAAAATACTGCATTTGGTATAGTTGCAATAATCATGAGATTGTCATTTTGATCTTTATTAAGATTGTATGTTTTTACAGGGCTTCATTCTGTCTGGCAGAAGTAAGAACTTCCTTACTCTATAGGAAAGAAACAGATTCTAAGAAGTTTGGACCTGTCCTGCCCCTTAAGGCCTGTGAGGTTCCTGGTGAGGAGGAAGGTGCAGGCACCTCGGGGTGAGCTCAGTACCCTGGGAGAGCCCCAGTCCTTGGTTCTCCCTGTACTACTCTCTACGAACCAGGTTTCATCCCTGGAGATTCCCAGTTCTGGGGGAGTAGCTACAACAGTAGTGTTTATCTGTTTTTATAATACTTAGGTGGGGTAGAATTATTTTAATAGAAAATATTCTGACAGGTCACTATCCTTCAGAAACTAAGTCTTCTGCTTTGTGTTCTTCCTGGCTACTCCGAGGGGGATATTTAAGTCTCCAGAGAAAGGGGAAAGTACCTGAAATAGTCAGGGAGCTGCGGTGACCAGGAAGAGCTAACAGGTGGAGGCTGCGTGTGAGGGCTGATGGTGTCTCACCTGGCCTGCGCCTGTATAGCTGTCCACAGGAAGAGCCTCCGCGTCAGCCGGCGCAGGGTGAGAGTGCCACAGAAAAGCAGGAAAGCAATTGATGAGTAAAATGAAGATCATTCCAACAATAATAGTATTGCTATCTGTATTGCTTTGCAGATTTTAGAATAAAAATCTTTGAGAAACAGGGATAA